CCTGATCCCTACCATGTCCCCATCCTGCATGTCCCATCCCCATCCCATCTCCATTCTGCATCCCCCATCCTGCATCCCTGGTCCCTACTTAGTCTCCATCCCACATCCTGCGTCCCCTGCCACACCCGCTCTGCTCATCCCACATCCCTGGTCCCTGCCATGTTCCCCTCCTGCATCCCTGCCATGTCTCCATTCTGCATCCTCCATCCTGCATCCTTCATCCTGCATCCCTGGTCCTTGCCATGTCCCCTTCCACATCTCCATCCTGTATTCCTCATCCTGCTTTCCCAGTCCCTACTGCATCCCTATCCCACACCCTCTGTCCCAGCTATGTGCCCATCCTTTATCCTCTATCCCTGCCATGTCCTCACCTTGTGTCCCCCATCCTCCAACCCCTCTCCCTGTGATCCTCATCCCTTGGCCATCCCAGCATGGCATTTTGGGGCTCTGGGGAAGACTCCCACCTCTATCCCAAGGTTTTGCTTTTGGATTTTCCCCCCTCTCCGCAGGAGCAAAGCAGGGTAGGCAACAAGTGACAACTCACACGGGCTGCAGCTCCTTCACAGCTGCAGCTGGGGATGTCCCAGCACACATCCAGCTTTTCTTCCTGACAGGACCCTCGGGATGGAGGGAAAACTCAATGTCCTCCAAGGGGATCGGGTGAGGTGTCAATTTTTAAGCGCACACACATTTTGCTGGAATAATTGTCATTAAAACATGTTTACACAAGCGGGAAGAGGAGGAATATGCTCCAGTTGGCCCTTCTGTATTGAAAATCCATGTTTGCCTCAACTTCTTTGTAAGTTGTTAAAATCCCACCAGGCAGAAGCTTCCCGAAGTGCATCCCCCCTTTCCCGGTGGCTCAACTCCCCGCAAAAGCACAGATGATTTGATTTCCTGGCAGGCAGGCTGGAAAGGACACAGGCAGCTTGGTCTTGGAAACGCAAACAGCAATGGCTTGGGGGAAAAAAGGAAAGCCATCCCAAATCCCAAACGCACTGGTTGTGCATGGCCACGCAGTCAGCTTGCTCTGGAGGGAGGAAATGGGATGAAGTCCTCTAAAAAATGATCACTGGTACAGTGGGTGCTGCTGGAGCAGCCCTAGCCCTGGGCTCCACCTCGACAGCAGTGTGATTCCACATCTGTGGAAGCAACTAGGAGTGGGCAACAGCACCTGTTTTGTTACAAAACACTCAAACAGCAGCACCTTCCGTTTTTCAAAGGGTTCATCCCCGGGCGAGTTGAAAGCCTGTGTCGCTATTTTTACCAAATGTGGAGATTTACAGGAAAAAAAAAGTCGTCTTGAGAAGTCTGAAGGATTCACAATGGAATCAAAGAGCCTGGTGCTGCTTTTAATGGAGAAACCACCCACAAGGCGTATGTTTTTTGACACGCTCCGAAACGGTCACTGGAAAGAGCTTTTACCATCAATGCTTTTTTATTGTCATAGTTTAATTACAGAAACGACCCATGCAACAGGAGATAAACACTTTGCTTTTGAAGGGAATTAATTTATTTTGGAGATCTACATCACACAGGCATCACGCTGCTGGAGATCCAAGCAACTCCTGACCTCAATATCGTTAGATCGTGCTCCGGGAAGCTCTCCTGGATTTTAAACACTTATTTGAAGAACAAACTTCCTCCTTTTGAAATAAAGCCACGTTTAAACACTGGCGATGCTCCGAGAGCCACACAGTTCTAGTTGTTTTCTTGGAAAACAAACAGGCAACGGGCATCAAACAGGCAACTTTGTGACATTTTGGTTACCAAGGGGGAAAGGAGGAGGAAGGACCCAGGCAACTCCCAAAGGGAGGGCGGGCAGTACAGTTAGGGAAAGCTGCAGGGAAATGCCATGGCTCCTGTGCTTTTGAGGAGTCATGAGGCACCTCTGCTTGCAGTTCCCAGGTTCCCATCCAAGATTGTTGTCCCCTAAAAACGTTCCAGCAAGGAACCGTGTGCCTCTGAGCGCAGGGAGGGCCCGCTCCAGCCGAGGTGCCCCTTCAGGAGAAGGACAGCTGCCCAGATGTGGCGTAGTAGCCAGAGGTGTCCGAGGAGAACCTCTGGGAAAGGCGCACCGAGTCCAGCTGCACCTCTCCGAAGTAGAAGTTCTCAAAGAGCTGAAAGAGAGCAGAAAAACCATGTGAGAGGCAGAAAAACGGAGCCTCCAGCTGGCCCAGGCTCTCCCGCAGGAGCTGGCCCTGCCAAAAGCCTCTACTCAAAGATTTGTTTTGCCGTTAATGAAACTATTCTTTACATTATTTTCCCCCCTAAAGACTGTGCTTTTACTCTTTTTGTCTTGCTCTTTTTATCAGCAGCTGCTCAAGCTCTCCCCCACTTTGCTGCCTGTCACTGAGGGAGCCTGGGGGGGCCGTTCCCGAGGCCACCACCCCCGGGTGGCTCTGGAGGTCGCAGGCTCTGCAGGAGCAAGGATTGAGGCCAGGAGGTTTTCACCAATCCAGGCCACAGGACGTACGACTTAACAGTCACAGCTCAGTCCTAATTCAAACGAGCAGGCTGGAGGCACAAGGCTCCTCATCCCAGCACTGACCCCGCTTTGTTCAACAAATCCGTCTTTGTTCGGCAAAGACTTGAGTGCAAATTAAGGAAAGCAAGCCAACTCCGGCACCCGGGGGGCGTGGCCCTGCCCATTAATCCAATCTATGAAGCAGACCAAAAAAAAATGACATCAGAATTTCTTACACCAAATTATTGCTGGAAAGGCATCGTGTCCAAGTGCAAAGTGCTCCTCCCGTTCCATTAAGATGCAGGAAATTGCTCTACCTGGAAACGACGGCTGTGCCTCAGGAAAAGCTTCTCAGTGGAGATGCTAATTCTGAAACTCTGCTTAACCGGAGCGCTGTGAGTCACCAAGGGCCTGAGCAGTGACATCTCCCCACCCTGGAGATCTCCAGAGTGTCCATTCCATCTGTCTCCTATTGAATGCTCTATCTGTCCCTGCAGGTGTGGGCTCAGACAGTCCCACAGCCCTTCCTGCCATTACAGAAGGCACTAAGGAAAGCCAACACGTTAATCCTCCTGGAGCCAATGGTGCATCAATTCCTCCATACAGGGAATGACTGAAATCCCAAATACCTACTTAGCATCTGAAAGGCTGCACTTCACCTCCTCCAAAGAGGCATTTGGCTCTGCCTGGCACTGATTTGGGCACAACTGCTCTTTTGTTGGTTCTCCCAAGGGTATTCTATTTTTCAAATACCCTTTTTTTTTTCCACAAGAAGACCAGCTAGATTTCTTTCAGGACAATTCCTGGGTTTGCTGCCACTCCTCCACATAGCAAAAGTGCCTTAGGGAAAGCGATTCCCTGCCCATCTTGGGGGCAGAGCAAGAGACCCCATGGCAGCAGCCTGGCCTCAAGGAACACTGTCTGTGGTGGCTCCAGGGAGTCACTGCCCTAGGGCAGAGCACCCTGCTGAAAAGGAGTTGTGCTATGGAAGCACCTCAAACAGGGAGAGGAGGAAAAGGGAAAAGAGATATGACTACAGCCACACAAACTCCATTTTATACAATTAAAGATTTATACAATTAAAGATTAATTACGTTCCCAAAAGCCTGCGTCGCTCATGTTGGAGGACTCAGGATAAAATGTCTCATTAATAAGAGATGGCAGTAAAAGGGTTGGTCACCTTTCTCTTTTTGTTTTGGTTGACCTCAGAAGGAAGGATGACTTTCTGCTCTCCAGGGCTCGCTGCAGGTTGGAAGAGGCCACTTCCAGTGCCTAAAAGGGGAACTCTGGGACAAGGGCATGGCTGTGACAGGACAAGGGGAAATAGCTTCACACAGACAGAGAGTGATTGAGATTATATATAAGGAAGAAACTCTACCTTGGGAGGGTGGGGAGGCCCTGGCACAGGTTGCCCAGAGAAGCTGTGGCTGCCCCTGGATCCCTGGAAGTGTCCAAGGCCAGGTTGGACGGGGCTTGGAGCAACCTGGGCTAGTGGAAGGTGTCCCTGCCCATGGCAGGGAGGTGGTCTGAGGTGGTATTTGAGGTCCCTTCCAACCCAAACCATTCTGTGATTCTGTGAAGGAAACAAATGAAATGCTGGGATGTGCTGGACCCATCAGCAGCACTGAAAGCCAAACCTTTACACAGAACAGCCAAAGGAAGAGCCTTTCAAATACTTGCTTATGTTATCTCTGCACACCACAACCTGTTTTTATTACAAAACACATGTACTTCAAAGCAAAAATTAGTTAATGAGACAAACCCTTCACAGAATCACAGAATCAGCCGGGTTGGAAAAGACCTCTGAGATCATCAAGTCCAACCCTCAATCCAAACCCCCTGTGGTTCCCAGACCATGGCACTGATGCCACATCCAGTCTGTCCTTAAACACCTCCAGGGACGGAGAATCCACCCCCTCCCTCCCTGGGCAGCCCATTCCAATGTCTGATCGCTCTCTCTGTAAAAAATTTCTTCCAAATATCCAACCTAAACCTCCCCTGGCACAGCTCAAGACCGTGCCCTCTTGTCCTGCTGCTGGTTGCCTGGTTGCCCTCAGCCCCTCTTGCCTCACACAGCCTCTGACTCATGAGAGCAGAAGGAAGGTCAGGAAGCCCCAGGAGACACTGCCCAGGTCAAGGGCCCTCCATTTGTGCACTGCCAGAAGTGCAGCAGAGCCCTTGTACCAAAGCACTCTGTAATTCCCTTGGCTTTTATAAGACTCACCACCTCCCGTGTGTCCAAGCATCTGTGTGTTTCCCAGGGAGAATGCTGCTGGAACTATTGATTTTTGGTAATGTGGCTGTACTTTCTGAGAGTGAACATGCTACAAGATTTAGAGGACAAGCAGAGACTTTTTTTTTTATTGTTGTTCTTGTTTCAGGCTGGCTTCTCACGGATGCTCCCGTGCTCCCTGAGGCTTCCCACCACAGAATCCACCAGGCATGGAGATCACTGTACCTCTGAGACCTGCCTAGGGCAGAGGGGAGGGAGGCCCCTCAAACATCATCCTCCAAGGCCCCTGAAACACCAGCAATTGGCTTCCTGTCACAAAAGCATCCTGTGCTCAGGTCCCCGGGGATTTTAGAAGGCCGAGCCTCTGCTTTTGACTTTCACTTCTAGTTATCTTGGGGAGAAGCCAAGCAGAGCTGAGAAAGATATTTATAACTCCCCCCTCTCCCCAGCCACCACGGAAACGCTCCGGTTTTGGAGGAGGCCTGTGGCACAGCTGATGAAATGCCTCCTGGAAAAGCATTTTATGGCAGTTTTAATCCTGCACCAGGAAAGAAGGTACCTGGAGGTTGTTGCACTTCAGAAGCCAAGGCTGATAACCCTAAGACTGCCCAGCTCCCTTTCCTGTCCCTTCCCACAGTTGCCAAGGACCCACCTTTCCCTGTAAAGGCTGCAGGGAGCATGAGCAGGTGTGGATCAGAAGCAGGCAGAAGGGAGGCAGAGAGGAGGAGGAGAAACACCATCATAGTCACCAAAAGCTGTGTCATTTGACTGGAGTGGGACACAAGGCTCAGCAAAAGCACAGTAATTCTACAAATCCAAACACACCGAAGGATTTACGGTGCTCGATGCCGAAAGAATAAATAAGAGGTTGGGATTTTTTTCTTTAAGTATTACAAATGAGAATGAACCTGATGGAGGTAAAGGTCAGCTTACAAAATCAACACCACGCATGCTGCAGGAGCTACTAACTCCCATCAAGGGAATAGCACTTAGAGGACTAAGTGCCCTCTGTCTCCCTGCTGCCTTCCCAAATTGAATTAGAATGGAATAAGGAAAGAGCGTTGTTAACTTTTAACCCCAGACCCAGCACCTCCGAGAAAACACGCCAGGGATGTGCCCTGCCTTTCAAACCACAGCCAAAGGCTCAGGAACAGCTCAGTGAGGATGCCTGGAAGGACACGGGGGATCCACGGGGAGAGAGCTGGTGCCTGCAGGGCACAGCACCCTCCTGGCAGCAGCACCCCGGGATCTGCAGGGCATGGTAGAGCCTACAGCCACGCTGCCCTTCCTGAAAGCCAGGAGTGCCTAAGAGAGGGAGAGAACTGGTCGATGGATAACCCACGTTTCACAGGTCAGTCTGCAAACTACCACAAGCAATAGCTCCTCCCTCTCCCTCTCTCTCCCTTCCAGGGGGCCAGATCCAAGGACACGACCGTGCAGGTAATGATGAAAGGCAGGCAGCCCTGCAGTAGCTCCCAGAAAGCAAGTTTTCCTCCACTTCTTCCCCAGAGTCATTTATCCTGAGCCAGGAAAAGCCAGCAGCACACCTGTAATTTCTAATACCCCAATTTCTCCCATTTAAGACAATTCCATTCAGATGCTGGAAACTCTTCTCCCTCTGAGGTCCGTTCCCCTCGATTACCCACAAATTACACAGCAGGGCTCCCTTGGGGCGAGACAATCATTTTCTGAAGGAAGACAAGAGGCTGAAGACTTGTTTTGGGAGAGATGGAATCACACATCAAACCGCTCGCTCCTTGCAAACCTGAGCCAAAACTGCTTGTACAAACTTCAGCCCCCAAACCACAACAACTTCTCATCAAAGGCAGAGCAACAAATCAAAACCAGGATGACTCTTTTCCGCATTTTTCCCCCCCTTTTAAGCATGTAAAGTAGGTTTTGCTGAAGCAATGTAGACACCCAAAAGTGAAGGAGAATGACTCCTCAGTGAAGCAGTTAAAACAGGCACCTAAACGATGTCCTGTTCCCAAGTGTGTTTGTCAAGCTGCCCTCCTGGGGGGGCTTGCTTCCCACAGACAACCCTCCGGGAATGAGACAGCACCTCTGTGTTCCAACCTGGAAACAACAGTAATAAATCATGGTGCTAAACCATGTAAGGACAGCGGCAACACGTTTCAGCTCCTGTTATGAAGAGCAGAGATGCCAACACAAACCAGGGCTTTAAAATCACCTGTCACGGGCTCAACAAGCATGAGAAATATTAATGGATTCAGCTGGAGAAGCACTGGGCAACAGGAGGACAAAAGTCCAGGGAAGGGAAGAGAGTCAGAGGTATTTAAAACTTCCTTCACGTAATCTCTGGCTCGCACTCACACAGCCTGGCCTGGATTTTGCTGCGACCATCAGGATTATTGATCAGTTTTTAAAGCCTTATGTCGTTTACGGTAGTCAGCCAAAAAAAAAAGACCCATCCTGAATTCATAAAAAGTCCAAGCAGCTCTGCTGAGAGCATCAGTGCTCAGAAACGCCGAGGGAGCAACGACTTGTTGTTAATTGCCTTGCAATTAAAAATTCCCACCAAAGAGCAGCATTACCACGGGATATAATGGATCTAAGCACACACACACACACCCCCACACACCCCCACACCCCTCCCCGGACTGGGGGGAGTTCTGCTGTGAACTCCAGCCGCGGGAAGCAGTGCCTCAGGGCTGGGCTATTACAGATCAGCAGCACACAAGTGTCCCCGGTGGGCCGGCGCTGTGGGCGAGCAGAGCCGTGTAATGTCATTAGGCTGTGACCAATCCGCCTCACAAACCCGGCAGGGAGCTGAGGGGGGTCCTGTTTTCCGTATCTGGAACAAACACAGAAATTAAGAACTTCTGAGAGGCAGGAAGGAAGAGGCTGACAGCTCCGGGAGCCCACGGCTGTGGATGAGCTCACTGTCACTGCTGCTGCACGGACCACGCTGAGGACGGGATGCCAGCACTCCCTGCTCCTCTGCTCCGCCCGGCTTGAAGGCGTTTATCCACCCAAAGATCCCATCCAGGAAGGCATGGGAATGCACTGGGTGCCACCAGGCTCTGCCTCCACGGGAGAACACGTGCAGGAGATGAGTTCTGACAGCCAGGCCAGCGCTGGGAACGGGGTCCAGCAGCGCACAGAGAGCCCCAACCAGGAGATTGAAGTGGAGCTTCGGAGCAGCCGCAGCCTTCAGAGCTTCATCTGCTCTGCACTCAGTGACAACACTCCCCAGCTCACCCGCCAGCAGCCGCTATCCCAGCGTGTCCCCATCCCTGAAGGAACGGCTCAGGAAGCCAGGAGGGATGGGAGGCTGCTTTCCGTGGGAAATCAGCATGCTATGGTGCTGCTGTCCCCTTCGGGGAAGGGAAGGAACAAACAAAATCCCAGGCACCCGCTGACAAGCACGGAGAAAAATTAAGCAGCGTTTCTGAAGAGGTGCCTCAACATGGAGCAACAAATCACATCTGTTTGCAGACTCTCCGCACCCTCCCCTGGGTATTTTTCCATCTCATAAGGGATGATACATTTGAATTAATGCTTGTAATACGTCCACAGCTTGGGATGGAAAACACTGGAGAAGAGCAGAGAATAGTTGCCCTTCCAAATCATCTGGCGAAAGCACAACTGCGGTTCCCATGCCAGATACAGCAGGGAGGCACTGACTCCTTGGCAAACTGCTGGGTTACAGAGCTGATATCAGCACCAGGCAAAAAGGATTGATAGAGGAAATGGCAAAGAACCACGGATGGATCAAAAATCTTAAAAAAATTAAATCTTGAAATGTGCAAGTAACACTGGGAAACACTGATGGACTCTAAGCGAGCGCACTAAGCGAGCGAACTCCAGTAAACTGCATCCCTTAGAGCTCTTCTGATCAACCTCCTCTGCTGCACAATCCACAGCCTCCAGTCCTCTGCTTTTTGGATCCCACCTACCTGTTCAGTGTGCCTCACTCCCTCACAGCCCTGCCAGGCCCTCTGCAGAAGGCTGTTACCTCCACAGCTGCCCCAGTTCCCAGCCTGCAGCACATGCTGGCAGAGCTCCTTCTTCCTCACTCCAAAAAATGCACCAAGCCCCCTTCCATTTGTGACCTAAACTCCCCCAAAACTACAACAGACAAACCCCAACCAAAGCTCCTGGTGGCCCCCAGAAGACGAGACACAACCAGGCACCATGTCAGGACCTGGGGAGTTTGTTCAATGAACACATTCTTTTTCCTTCTATTTTTGCCTTTCAAAATGTGTTTTCTGAAACAATTTGGTGCCAAAAAAAGAAATACCTGATTCCTGTATTATTCACCCTGGACAGCACTCCGCCAATGATTATCTGTCAGAGGTTTAATTGTGCTTGGAAGCTGGCCAGGAATAATGCACGAGGAGCGTAGGAAAAGCAGGTAGGCAGGCACTCATCCAGCGAGGCGGCTCTTCCCGGCATTCCCAACCTCCTCTCCAAATTAGCAACTGCTTCCTTTCCATGGCTTTTTTTGAAGGACCGCTGGCTGGGGATCCAACATTTTGCAGTCCTGCCCAGGTGTCATAGGATGAAGCCGTCGTGTGGAGTCCCAGGGATGGAAGGGAGGGTTAGGAAGGACAGGGAAGGCCGGATGTCACCGGGGCCATCGCCAGGAGCACCAGCCTCAGAGCTGCAGATGGTTCTGTTCTGCAAGCGTGCAGCTGGCTCTGGAGTGTCTCTCCATCCCCAATATAGCACCCAGTCCTTCCACACGGACAACATGAGGAACAGTCCTTCCCCTCTCCTTTTCTTTCAGCCTCTGGCAGGTTTAAAAGGCAGCAGCAGAGGCCCTTTCACCTCATCTCCTTTGGGAAGAATAAAGCTTGCAGACTTCAGGAAGGACAAAATCTTGGTCATAAAAGTCCCACCTCCCACTTCAGGAGTATCTCCTCTGTGACACTGGAAAATCCCTTGGGAAGCAATAACAATATAACCATCTCTCTCTGGAAAAGTACCACCAAAGTAAGAAGATGCAGCACACACGGAGTTCAGGGAGAAAGATCCAAGGCATGTGATGGGAGGCTTCTTTTTCATATTTTTATTTTCCTGAGCCAAAGTAAATGCCACATAAATGCCAAGAAGCTCTTGGTACGTTCACAGATGCTGTCTCCTGGGAGTTCTGCATGCATTCCACGTAGGAATCATAAAGTGATGAGCTGAAGAAAGGACCAGCGAAGGTCATCAGCTCCACTGTCCTCTCCTTCCCCTAGGGAGGAGGAGCTCCTTGGTGGCAGAACCTGGACTAACATCTCTGCTCCCTCAAAACCACCAGGGTCCCCATTTCCCAGCTCCTCTAGAGCAGTACTTCATTGTCCTTCCCTTTCCAAGGATTTTCCTGCTCTCTTGCTGCAACTTAAGCGCATTATTTATCCCTCTACCCTCAGAGCATGGAGGACAAAGTATCCACTACTGGATACTAGTGGATACACTACTTGAACCTTCACATGCTGCCCTCCTTCCCTTTATTAACTCAAAACAACTCTTAAGTCTTTCCAGCCCCAGCTTGCAGACATTTTCTACCCCTCCAATTATCTTATTGTTGCCCCCTGGGCTCTTTGCACCCACCCTCTTTGAACCCTTCAGCCAAGCGTAGTCAGAGGTTTACTTTGCAGACATTTGCCTCTTTCTTGTATTTCCAGAGACCCCCTCCTAACCCAAACCCTGGCCCATGGGGTTGGTACCGAGGCACTTCTCCACCCTACACTGATGCCACTGCTCCCTCCTCCACCCGCCCTTGTTTGCAGCAGCCTGTTTGTTTCCACCTGATTTCTCCAGATCCTTTGGAGCTCCCTTCCCTCCTGCTCACACAATATTCCTGCCTCTCCCCAGCTGGGTTTCACCTGCAGACCGAAGAGGAGCACATTTCATGCTGCCCATAACACCCTTCTGACCCCCACGGGTGGGAAGGGTACGAGGTTTTTGGCTCTGTGAACATGGAAGCGGCTGATCCCTCCCTGACTGCTGCCATGTGAAACCTCAGCTCCTCGTAAAACTGGAACAAAGCCACCTCAGCTGCCAGAGGGTGATGCAGCAGTGGGGAGGGTGACATTCAGCAATAGTCTAAATTAATCTGTCAGGCTGGATTCTTTTGCAGATAGAATTGTCTGGGGCCAGGTGCAGGCCTTTGTTCAGCTCAGATCCTGTCCCTCCAGGGTCCCCTGCCTCCTTCACAAGCCAAATCCAGTAGTGCTCCTGCCACTGCCACACTGCAAAACCTTTGCTTTAGCTCAGGGGTTTGGGTCCGTTCCCCCCTGCCACAAATCCATGAAAATTCATGCGCTTGAGGAAATCAGACCCTAGTTGCTATGGTGAAAGGCATTCTGCAAACTAAGAAACAAATACAAGTGGGACATTTGGAGGTTACCAGATTTTTGCACATCTTTCAGACAAGAATAAAAAACCCTTCCAGCATGTTAAAGGCTCCAATAATTTCCCAGACCCTGCTATGCTTCAAACATGAGGGATTTATGGTACAACTTAAGGAAATTAATAATCAAGCACTGCATTTCTCCAAAGAAGCCTCATTCCCGTGGCTCCTATTATAGCAAACGCAGCAACAGTTTTTAAGAGCTGGGTTTTGGCTTTGCTGAAGAGATGCCAGGAGGCTCGAGATGCATCCGGGAATACCACGGCCAGGAGCTCCCATCAATGTGACCTGCTCGCTCTGCTCACTGAGCCACCAGAAGGAGGAGTCTGGCTACAGAGCCAGTAATTCAACTCGGACAGACCTGGAAAATTATCCAGCAGAAGGGTCATGGCACCTTTGGGATGAACTGCCTACTTTTGCTAATCAGTGGGTTGGGTTTTTTGCACATTTAATGTGTTGGGTCCCTGCCTTCTACTAAGGCACTGCTGTAATTCAACCCCTGCCAGCTCCACGGAGAAAAATTGTCCTCCTAGGATCAAAGAGGTGATGCTGCCTCGGCTGGATGGTGGCAGAACAGGGATCTCAGGGAAATGAGGAGGCAGGATGCCCACTGGGTGGGAGACAGAGGCACCCACAGCACTGCTGAAAGGGCTCAGCCCCTGGGCTGGATGGGGCTGCAGCGGTGCAGGGGCAAGAGAATTCAGAAACTTTATAGCCCTCTCAACAAATCCTCCCTCTTCCAGCACTCACAGTCCCTGCTAAAATTAGTCAGAGAGATGCTGAGCACCTCTGAAAGGAAAACAAAGAGGCTTCTCCCCTTCTTGGTAAGGTCATCAAACAGATCCCTGTCACACAGAGGTAGCACAAACCTTCTGCACCTCCTGCACTGCATTCTCCTCAGTGCAGCAGCTCAGCTTCCCCTCAACACCTCCAGTGCTGCCTCCAAGGCCCAAACACTCCAACAAAGACGTTTTTCCTCTATTGTCTAGTCTGATTTTTCAAATGCCACATCAAATTCCTGTTTCATTGAACGCAAATAACATGAATATGCCTTTTTTCCCCCTGAAGAATATATAATTCATAGGAAAGCGTTTTCACAGCAACCCCAATTTAATCTCCTTCTTTTTCCCCATGATCATACAAATGATCTCCAATCTCATCTGCTCAACTGTCACATCCTGCCATCCCACTGTTGCTCTAATTGCACACTGCTGAGCCCCCTCGATCGTTCCGGTATCTCTCCAGAATGGCAGGGTCACAGCTGAAGGCAGGAATTCTCCCCTCTGCAAAGCGGCACCGCAGCCTTTCATTTGTGCTTTTGATTCTTCTCTAAAACCGAGGTGAGGAAAAGCACTGGCTTATTTCTGAGACAATGATGTTGCACCACAATCTCTTATTCAGTCTCTTCTCACCCCAGTGGATTTTTTGTTTGGTATTTTTAACTCTGAACTTTCCAAACAGCCACCTCCCGTTAAGTGTTTGTTCCAGTTGCCAGTCCTACTTCAGATCTACACCTTTACCACCTCACTGAGGATAACAAGATGTTCTTACCCTTTCCAAACACCAGGCAGTCTTGATCCTCACTTAATGCCAGTTCTTTGGCCCTTTGATTTCACCTCAGCTAAAAAGTACATCAGGAAAAGACTCAGCCTCCTTAAATCCACAAGCAAAAGTTACACAAAAGGCCTGGGTTCCAGTGGCTGCAGAACGTGAGACACACTCCTCAACTGCAAGTGGAGTTGGCTCTAAACAGGGGCATGTGTTTATTTGTTTAGTGCTTGATGGTCTTGGGGTATTTTGAGGGCCATGGTTTTTCTTTTTCATTGTATCTCTCTATACGGCACTGCCTCAAATGCCTTAAACTGAACTGCTGCATGCCACTGCTCTTACCCAGCAGGACAGGCACAGTCACAGAGAACACCACCAAATTCCTTTGCTACGTCAGCTCTCCAGTAGATCAGCCAGTAAATGCACTTTCCTCCGCTCTAAGTGAAAGCAGATACAGTCCCATAATTTAATACCCTAATGCAGCCCTAAAAAGAAAAGGAGCTTCATCGAATTATGCCTTGTCTGACCTAGAAGCCCTCCCAGAGCACTCCCAGAGCCCCACTGCTGGAGCAGGGCATGGCAGCATGTGTCGCTGCCTCAGCTGATCCAGTTCCCAGTCTTCCATCCCAGCTTAAAGTCTCCCCTAATGCCCTAAGACATCAGATGTGCAGCTTTCTGCTGCTGTACCTCAGTAGCTGTTCCCTCAATATTTAATCTTGTAAGCTGTTAATGCACAGATCTGTGCTAAGCGGCAGGTTCAGCTTTTTCTGTACTCAAAAATTTGCTTCCTTCTTGTCTGAATGTGGCAAAGGCCATTCTTTCACTCCTCAGACCTCAGCTCGAGCCAAAAATCGTTCCATTTTAAACCAGTGAGAGCCCAGGTGGTTTTCTCCCTCCTGCAAGCCTTCCTTTCCCTCAAACGCATCCCAGAAATTTTTGGCCAGGCGGTCCCTTCGCGTTTCTGTTTGGTTTTATTTATTCACTGCAGCCCTGGGGGTTTTTTCCACTGAGCGAAACAAATAAAGGCCCGGAGGCAGCGCAGCCCCGTCTCCGGAGGTGCCGGCAGCTGCCCCGGCCGCCTCCGTGCCAGCGCCGTGCCAGCACCGTGCCAGTGCTGTGCCAGCTGCCACGCAGGGCACGGGGACACGGCAGCAGGTAGGGCAGGGGGGCTGCCAAACCAGCACCTCTCCTGGGCCCGGCCCTGCCCTCGCCCTGGGGAAGGAGCTGCCTCAGGATGTCTCTCAGCCCTGAATCGCTGCCTCCTCCCTCCGCTCTCCAAGAGATGAGACACTTTGCTCCCGACCGGAGCGCGACTCCGGTACGTGACTGGGATGTTCAAAGCCCCCAGCCAGCCTAGAAGGAATGCACACCGCTCCACGGGAAGGGGTCCACGAAGCATCTCCAGCTTTTTGGGACTAGGCTAGGCAAGCGCAATGCCAGAGCTTTGTGAGACACAAATCTGTTGGGTCACACAATCCCTTGGGCTCTCAGCTCCACCTATGCCAGGAAGCCTTTTTCACGGATATTCTTCAAGACAGGAGTAATTTAAACTCCCCAAAGCAACTCATCCTACAGAATCTATTTTCTGAGCAGTGTGGGAAGGTACCGGCCTGCACAGCCATTTATTAGCACAAATAGGAGTGTGTGTTTAACTCTGCGGAACGGGTAGAACAAAGGATTATTAAATAAAATTCCGATTAGTTCAGCTGAAAGCAAAATACCAGCTGGAGCCTGGGGTAACGCAGGCATGGTATCAGCAAACATGTGCTGCCAGTGCATCTGCACACACACCCCCCCAGCTCTGACCACGGGGAGCCTCCTCAGCCGGGAGCAGCAGAGCCAAGGTGTCTCTGTGGTGATCCCTGCTCCCATAGCTCAGGTCCTGCCCTCTGCTCGGCAAAGCCTTTGGCTGCACTACGGGAACGAGAGGAATGAGACCTGAGTTTTCCCACTTCATGCCCTCCTGCCAGTAGCCACGCTTTGTTAGCGTTCCAAGTGGGAACATGGCCACTCAGCACGGCTGTGGCAGAGTCCCACCACCTGGAATCACACGTGGCTCTCCCTCCCACCACCCTGCCTAACTGCAGCCATATTCATTAACAGCCCGTCTCTAGATCCCAGAGCAGAAGTTAATGAAGCCACTTTGTGAGAGGGCAGCCTCCCCGAGCACAAGATAAATAATGGATATAAAAGCGGGCTGGGAGGGAACGGGCACATCCTTGCAAGGTCACGCTGGAATGCATCAGTGGCTCGCTGAGGCTTGGGCTCCTCCGGTAAGAAGCCTGGAGCTATTTATGACTCATGTAATTAATTAATGCCAACGGGCGTTCTGCTGCAGGCACGTGGGAGACCAAAGGGAAATAGGAAGCGAGCAGGTTAGGAAATGTGGTGGAGGTGGGAGAGGAGGATGACATTTCTTGCGGCAAGATAGGCTTTGAAGTAATTACCAACAGTCCAAACAGCCAGCAGCTCCTTCGGCTACGTCAGTACAAAATCAATTAGGAGCTTTAAAAATGCATTGGCTCGTACTGCCGAGAGCATCAAGAATAAGGAGCAGCCTCGGAGGGAGGGCAGTCGCATTTCTGAGCACCACAAGACCACCCCCCCCCCGCCCCGATCCTCGGACCCCACAAATGGTGTGACCAGCAGAGGGAGCATCGTTAATGCCTTCCCGATCACAAACGGAACGAGGAGCACTGAGGGAGACCCCCAGTCTGATCTGATGTTTCTGTAAAGCCTGAGGCCAATTTTAACAGAAGCAAGAGAAAGCAGTGAAGGCGTCCGCCGTGCAAGCCGAGTCCCTGCAGGCACTCAGGGCTCCTGACACACCTCCACTTCCCGGGGCCGGCTCTCCCACACCGGGAGCTAACCAAAACTCGCAGATCACGTTAGGAAGGGGACCGTGCCTGTGGCTTTCCTGCTCCAGCTCGCAGTACTGCAGTCTCACACCGCACACCCAACGTGTGGCGACGCTGAGTCATGACACCGCTCGCACAGACCGTCTGAGGACAATGAGAGCTTAACCTAATTTTGTCCCTTTGTTTGTCCTCTGCACAGAGGAGATCAATCACTTCCACTCCCTGCCTTCACACCCCCCTGCATCCACTGCCTAATACATTATTAAAACTGTAAATACAAATAAAGAACACCCTTTCCCTCCTCTGGGAGGACTCTGAAGTCTTTCTGGGCCGTCCAGCTCCCACCCAGGCTGAATCCTCTCTCATGTTTCTTTGTTGCCAGAATATCTCCTAAACGTTCCCAAATGTATCCATGCATTGTCCTGGCTCCCTCTTATCAGAGCTGCCTGCAACAAAATCCTCTCACACAATGAGGATTGCAAATTTGCTTACAACCCAGTGCTGTTTCCCATTTCTGCTCCTCTGTGCATCTCTTTTCTCTCTGGACACTTGTAGGGGTCAAGCGACCACAGCCCCACTCTGCCACAGCCATCTGGATGAGCAGCAGAGGCTGCCTGCATCCCAATCCTGGCTGGCAAAGCCTGGGAGGCTGTGGGATGCTCCCCCTCAAGCCTTATCCACCTCCACAATCTGCAGGATCATGTTTTCCATGCTCTGATCACTACCAAAGCCCTCAGATCCTGGCTGGTGGGACTCCCTACTGCTACCTGCTATTTTTCTGGAGCAAACCCATGCAAATCAATAGCAGAGATTAAAAACAAGAAGAAAAGAATAAGTGAAATGAGAGTCGGGTTTAGTTTCATAAATATATATGAGTAGAACAAGAGCAACAAAGTGCTTCTTTCTGGTGGGTTGGGAATCAACAAGAGCCTGAGTCTCCAGGGTAAAACAGGAATGAGGTAAATGACAACATGAACACCCACTTAGCATTCGTGCTACATATTCCTGCTCTGAGCCTCAGCAGCTTCAGGAATGCTTCTGTTAAATACTGTAATGCTCCCAATTACCAGAGATCTGGATTGTTTATTTTCTAAACAGATTTCCCCCCCCTCACAGGAGATCCCATAAGCCTAAGACAAAAGAAGTCTTGAAGAGGTGTTTCAACCTCTTTTGGCTATACAGTATCCACAGCTGGGCCCATTTCCCTAATTGTTTCATACTGACCTTGAGGATATTTCGGCCATTAAATGACTCCCGCTCCTTGAAAGATGATTTACCAGTCATTGTGTTGTTTCGCTCTTCAGCTGTAGACAGAAAAGCCACCACCAGAATGAGCTTCAGATGGGAGAACTCTGTGTGCTGTACTTCACCCCCCACTCTCTCCCTCCCCAAAGTCAGCTGCCAGCTAATAGTTCCCAGTGCAAAAAAAACCACTTTCCCTTTTGAAGGGAATAAGGCAGGAAAGGGTGCCTCTATCGGGATCACCTATGTTACCTGGAGGGAAGACCCTAAATCAGAGCTACAGGCTGATGGCTCAGTGCAACACACCTGCTTCTCTCTGGCTGATTTTAATGCCATGCCAGGGTAAAAGCACGGCAAGAGCCTGCATGGCCTGGAACAGCACCAAATTCCAGGCTGAGTGTGCCAGCACAATGCCAGGGGCGATCCGGATCCGGACAGCATCCACACAAACCTCTGCCGCCTGCTCCGGGGAGCACATCCCTGTGCTGGGGGTGCTTCTGCTGGGGTGGGCACACAGCCACACAGACATCCAGGACAGCAACCTGGGCCTACAGCCACTGCCAAATGCCTGTGTCTGAGATCCATTTCCCCAGAGCATGTCTGGATTTTTATATAATCCCTCAGTACATGATCTGTTCTTTCCACAGGACCTCTGCCTCACTCGGTGAATATATTCAATATTCCTTTTTCATCTCCAGCATTAACTATGAGGTCCCCCTCACATCCAGCCTGCTATTCAAATCCTGTATGGAATATAAAGCGACTTCCATGGCTGCCTGCAGAACGCTCTCCCCATAGTGTCTGAATGCCTCACATGCCTCATGGGGTTGTGCAGAATAGAGTCAGAATGCCAGGCATAGCTGCCCATGTGCCTCCCATCACAGAGAGCCACGCCAGCACTTTGAGCTCACGTTTTTGGGTCTCGATTTGAGACCGATTTGAGTCAGAAAAGTGTGCTTATCTGACTTCAGGACCAGGCAGACCCAAAACCTGCCCAGAAAACCATGACACAAATCACCTGCTCTTATCACTCTTGACGCAGAGACTCAGAGAGGCAGCAACTAGAGAATTCCCAACACGACCCGCTGCGCTGCACGGGGGTCACCGTGGCAGAGCACACACACGTTTGCACATGGAGAACCAGGCTGTAACACACTGCCCCTCCCCAAACATGATGCTTTTGAGGCTGCTTTATAAAGTAATGTGATAAGAACAGGCTGCCAGAGCAGACAATCTCTTGGCAGAGCCGGCAGACGCCATACACTCAAGAATAGCTCATATTCAGCCTCACAGCCGTCTGCATCTGATTTAAGGAGAAACACACTGGAATCACACCCCTAAACCAATGGGCAATCTTTAACTTGACCAAAGAGGATTACGTTTTCATCTTGTTTAAAGGTCAGCATGGCACACGGAGTTGTTACCCAATTTCAATTTAACACTGGGGCACAGAGAGCCCAAGACTTCAGATGGTACTTGAATGTTCCTCCCTGGCCCAGATCCTGTGAGTGCTCCTGGGCGACAGGGTTTTTGAATCTGTGACTCTGCTGATGGCTTTTTTAATTTTCTCCTTGGTTTTATCTCCTGACATCCCCCCACAGCCCTGCAGGTATTCTTGAGATTAAGAAAAATCACACCATTGAAAAAGCAAACAACAAAAGCATTTGCTGAGCAGCAGGACTCCTTTAAGTGCATTTATCAGTAAGGATGAAGGGTCTGTACGTACTTGGATCTTTCCTGAAGAGAGTGTTCATGACTGTAGCATGCAGCTTCACCCTGTCCCATTCTTTGAGCATCAGGCCAGAGGCCACAAACCGCTCCACCAGCTGATCAGCAATCACCTGCAATCTGGGAAGACAAAAAGAGAAAGCACAGAGCCAGGTAAACTAAGGAGAAACCCCTGCATGATCAGCTTTTGGCTTTTCAGCCGGGAGGGCAGCAAGTGAGAAATGAAGTCTCTGCACGCACACAGGAAAGGGAGCTGGTCCCTGATGGAAAGCGAGCAGAGACATCAAGATTCAGTTCTAATGCACAAAGTTCTGGCTGTTTCGCAAAGCTTCCTCCGTGATCGTTTTGCTGCAAACATTCCAGGAAGAAGGGCAGATTTAGCACAGCAGAGAGCTCGTTCACAGTGACAGATGTTACAGGGAGCTGAAGGATGCATCTCTCTCCTGCCAGGAAACACAATGTGACTCTCCCTGCAAACGCCACAATCTGCAGACCCGCGGGAGCTTAAGCACCTTGTGTCCCAGAGGATCTGCTCAGGGACTGCTGGAGCCTGGACCTTCTGTGTCCCAAAAAAGCAAACCAGTCACTGGACTTAATTTCTGGGAGAGCCCAGAATGTGGTGACAGAGGACACAAACCCAGACAGCACATCCTGGTGAACACTCCAGCTTTGGAGCTACTGAGCAAGCAGAACCAAAAGACTTATTCCCACCCTTGTGTCTGCCTTGCTCGGGGATGAAAATGGCTGTGGCTGCCAGGATCTGTGGGCAGGTCTGTCCTGGGACAGGCAGCAGGAGCAGGATCAGAGCAACACGCTCACATATCCTGTGCCTAAAGAGCTGAAGGAACTTCCAGGCTGCTGCCATCCCCAGAAGATTTCCACAGTGCCTGAGCCTTACCAAAAGCAGCGTGGATGTGACAGAGCAAGAGCTTCCCATCCCCAAAAACAAGGCCAGAGGGTATTAAGCCTACGCAGAAGGATCTGGGCTCCTCTCAGCACGTCCCAGGGATTAGACAGCTTTCTGCTCTGTGAGGTCCCACCACTTTGGTGCCTCAGCTGCAGCAGAGCGTGGCTGCTGCTCTGAGGCTGCTCCCCAGAGCCCGGGGCTGCCACGCTCCAGATGCCAGCTCCCACCCCACCACTGGCTTGGGACTGCCCCTCACGGGCTGCAAGCCCCCATGCGACTACTCCAAGGCTCTCAAACTACCAATTGTCATGGCTTTCTACAATTTCCTGGCTTTACTTCAGTGATTTTTAAAATTAGCAATGACAAAGATTAAATGAATATCATTACAGACAATACTAAAACAAATTAACAGAGAATAGCTCAAGTGAAAATGGTGCTTTATTACGTTATAAAGTTAATCAAGGAAATAAAACAAATTAGAATGAATTATAATGGAAATTATTTGCCATGTGGGAGGCATCAGAGCATGATCCCTCTTTCAGTCTGAGCCATTATATGTGCAGAAGGGCTTGCCAACCCCTAATTCTGTCTGCAGTTACGCAAGCTAAGTCAGGATAAATCAAATCTCCTGCTTTACAGCTTAAGCTGATCAAGATGATCCAAAGATCAGGAAGGAACTCCACCCCTCAGCCATGCCAGCAACTACACAGAGCTAACAGGACATCTTGCATGAGACAGGAAGGCACACACCTCTCTCCAACACAGGCTGCAGCAGTCTGATCCAGCACAGAAAGCCACGTGGTCTCTGCTCTCCTCTAGTATTGGCCTTGCAGCTCAGAAACTGCTTTCTACCTGCTTTCCACCCACTTCCCTGAGCAAGGCACAGCAGGTTTCTGCAGGCAAGAAGTGCAAGGAGCTGCTCAGCGATGGTTTGTCTTGCAGGCCAGAAAACAAAGCAGATTTTTCTGGAGAGATCACCATTTGTTCCCTCTTTACTGCTGGTCCAACACGGTGTCTGCTGGAATCTCAATGGAAGCAAAAGCTGCTCTCAATCAACATAAAAATACCTGCTTTCACCTCTGCAAAGCTAAATGGTTTTCTGGATGCTTGCTAACAGTTAAGGAAGTATATTAGGGGGGAAGTGCCAGATGAATTAATTTGCCCGTGAGGGCAGAACCAGCCTGGGCCAAGGATTAAAACTTCAATTCCTTGGCCCTCTCTGAGCCCACTGCTATGCAAAAAGCAAAACAAATCCTGTGGAAGAGAAGCCTGGCAGCCTCCAAGTGCCACAAAAAGCACAAGGTCTGGGTTTGGTCAAAACCTCAGCTCTCTGTGAAGAACAGATGAGACATTGGCCCTTTCCCAGAGTGGTGGGGGTTGTTTTCAGTTTGAAGGCAAGGTGGATTTGAAGCCCTCACTTCTCTCCCCTGCCCAAAGCAGCTCTGCCACCCCTGATGCACATCAGCACTTTTTCTAGCATGGCTAAGTGGGTTCTCAGCAGAAGGGATCCAGCTGGCACCTGAACAGCCCACAGTGCTAGTACCAACAATCCAAGCTGTCCCCAGAGGCAGGCAGACATCACTGGCAGTTCAGGCCCTACTTATGCTCCACAGGACACTCTCCCTGCTCCTCAGGCCGCAGACTTGTTTCCAGAGGCTCAGGGAACCCCAGAGCTCAGTGACTCAGGAGAACAGGCCCATACCTCAGCTCTTAGAGTTTGTATTTTAGATGCTCTCCACAACAAACCCACCGAAGGGCATTTGGGTCACCCAGTGTCTGCCTTCTTCTCATCTTTCCGAGTGCTTCTGCCTTCTGTCTGCCTGTGCTCTGTCTCCTGGCTGATCTCTAGCTTGCCCTGGTTCTCCACCCGCCTCACTTGTTTTATCTCACCTCTTTCAGGGTAGGACGGACTTCAAAGTGGAAGAGCCAAGAAAAGGAAACGATTTCAATTCCTACTGCCTCCCAGCAATTCTTACATTTTTCATTTTCCCACCCATTTCCTTATCCCACTTCCGATCTCTTATTTCAACACAGTCTCCACAGTGTGGTTTTAAGCAGGTGGCCCTTCTGTCTCCTCAGCCCTTGAGGAAAGGAGATGCCAGAACATGTCCCTTCTTCCCTGAGCCAGTCCCTGCTCACTGCCTCCCTCCTCCAGCTGCACTGCTCCACGCTCCCCTGCTAGTCCTGCTGTCCTCTGGCAATGGGAACAGACAACAAAGGGGCAGTGCTGCCAGGAAAAGAGAAGGCTGAGGCTCAGAGAGAGAGGAGACTAAAGCTCTTTTGGCTACTCCCCTTCCCTCTTTGTTAATCACAGAATGGTTTGGGTTGGGAGGGCCATTCAGGATCAGGGACACCTTCCACCAGACCAGGTTGTTCCAAGCCCCATCCGTGTTTCCTCAGTCTTCCAGAAAGCACCAAAAGAAAAGGTGGTGCTGCCACGTGTGATGTACCTGCCAAAAACGAGGTGGAGGAAGGTTGTCCAGACACTGCCACATCCTGGGCAGTGCTTGTAGAGCCAAAGCCATAGGCCCCAGTGGTGAACAGTACACACACACTGACACCAACCAGGCTTCAGGATTTCACAGCAGCAGCTCAGATATTCCACACCCAGCACCCTTTCCAGGCTGCTACAGACACAGCAACCAACTCTGTAATCAAGCCATGCTCTTCTGAGAACCTTCTGGGGTAACTGGGTTTTAAGAATAATTAAGTGCTGCAGAATAGGCCAGGCTGTCCAGATTAATCTGGATTGCAGGGTGGGAACTAGACAGCAGAGGCCAAGTCGTCCTGCCTTCTAAGTCATCTCAGGAGTATCTCCTTGGCCATCTTATCCCTGTGTGAGCTGTGACTCCATTATTCAACCTGACAGGCCACTGCAGGAACAAATGACACCTTTCAGCTGCACCACCAGTGACTGATTCAAAGAGCAAACACATCACTGCCTTAACAGGTTTAAGGAAGCGAGGATGACTTCATCTCCCTGACTGCTGGCCCGAGGGCTGCCAGCAGGGCCCACCAGCTCCAGAGGGCTTCCCTGGCACACCCAGGGGGAATGAGGGAAAGGGGCCCGGGGAACTCACCTGTCTGAGCCATCCTTCATGCGGACTTTGGCGTAAAGGACGTCGGTCATGGCGGGGTCGTCGTTCATGTACTCCACTCCAGCCACCTCCACGGCCAGGGGCTTGCCTCCAGTGATTTGGCTAAAACCCAAGAAACCCCTCACGTTAAAAAGCAAAATGCCACACCTGCTTTTGAAATGCAACCCATAGTGCTCCTCATGCACGTGCCAAATATTTGGGTTTGCTAAGGGAATGATATAAAATACTTTTTTCTGGCCATAGTTAGACACAAATTTGAGGTTAAGAAGGACCTAAATATTACACAGACCACTGAGGAGTTCTTCACTTTCCCAAATCTTTCACGTTGTCTTCGCTGAAAAAAAATCAAACACAAAAAGGCTCCCTACATCCTAAAGCTCAAAAGGCTATTGTTCCTATTGTCTTATCATCTCAAGAAGTAAAATAATTTAAATTCATCCGTTCAGTGTTTCTGACACATATTAAGTCAACCTGCCAGTGTTCACAGGCCACTGTGGTCATGTCAGAAAACCCACCAGCAGCAAACAGCACAAGTTCTCATTCCAGAGAGGCTCCTGCCTTCCCTGTGAAAAGAGCAACCGTGACAGAGTCTCCAGCTTGCTGATTTTCACCGGGAAAGCTGCTTGATACAGAGCACAGCTCTAAGCACATTGCAACATCCACCAGTAAACTGAGCTGGTTTAAAGTCAGCTCCAGCTCCTCTGCAAACGCGTGCAGGATGTAATATGCACTCCCACACCTGCAAACACACTGCCAAGCGGATCTGCTTCCCAACACGCTGCCTCCTTGCCTTTCCCACCAGAGCAGTGCTCCCTGGGAGGAAGCGATGCCTTGTTTAACCCCCAGGCCTGCTGGAAAGCACAGGGGAAGCACAGGGAGATGTACCAAACACGAGTTAACAAGGTGAGCGTGACTTTGCCCTGACCTTGCTCAGCTCTGGCTTCCCCCTGCGACCGCCTTTGAGGGTCTCAGCAAAGATTCCCAAGCGGAATAATGATTTCCCTTCCCAGTAAGGCTACTGGGAGGAAAACAGCACAAATGTACTATTATGCACATCACACCCACTGCACTAAAGGTTATGTATTCTAAAAGAAAAAAAGGGTCAAAAAGGTCACATCTACCTTCACGGGGCACTGCCTGCACTTAGAAAAGGAAATGAAGGCTACTGAAGGTTTATGTGGCTAATTTTGCAAGTACATTTATTTGGGTGTGGCAGGGGAAATAACCTAAAGGTTACATTCAAATGTTGATTCCCCCTCCACTAAAGAAAATGGGGAGCAAAGATTTTCTCCACCTCAGTTCAAAGCACTTATGAGGAAGCTGGCACTTTCAGAACGTTGCAGGCAGAGCCTCCCCCTGGAAACGCACTTGCATTTCTGTTCAGCAGCTGAACAACTGGAGCTGTCATTTTACAGGCAGAGGTATGAATTTTGGCATTAATTCCCATAGATATCACCTGGCACAGCGTGGCCAATTCTCGCACGGAGGCAACAAATAAATGAATCCGACGGATCCGTGCTCTGTGTGCAAAGGCTTGGCAGAAATAAATAAATAAACCCCTCCCTCAGGCCATCTCCAATTCCTAAGCTGAACAGAGATAAGCTAATTACGGTGCTGTTGGACCACATTTGCAGCTAAAGCCCCAGCATCTGCAGCTCAGCGTTAACAGGCAGCCAGGAAGCCGCGGTCCCGTCACACTGATTGCTCACATGGCTCGTGCTGCCTTCCCTGCACACGCCTCCCACGGCAAGGAATGCGTGTCAAGGACACCTCAGCACCTGCTCCGTGCCAGAGCCCACTGCAGGACACGTGCACAGGTGAGGGAGCTCGGCCCTCCCCCTGCAGCAGGGACAGGCAAAAACCACTCGCACAAAAAAAAACCTGGGGGCACACGTGGGAAACAGAAATGAGCAGAGCAGGTCTTCAGGGAGTCCTGAGGGTCTGAGCTGAGCTGCAAGATGCTCTTAGGCTCTTTGTGGCTGCTTTGTGGCTCTTTGTGGCTGCTCCCGTTAGAAAGGTTTCAGCCTTTTCCTAAATTTCTAGTGTTGAGAGAGACTGTTGAGCTGCTTTTCTCGCCGCTGTCCCTTGTCAAAGACACCGTGCTGCTTTCCCCCCACTCAACCCTTGGTGATGACATCCCTTTTCCATCACTTACTCCACAAAGTCCTCTTTGCACTGCTGTAGGAGGTCACACGCTTTCTGGATCTCTTGTTCGTTCAGGAGCACCAGCGTCCCGAGAGTCAGGTGAAGCTTTGCAGGGTTCTGGAACAGGCTGCTGCTGACCCCGTGATCCTACAAATCAGTCAATCCATCACATATAGGTGTCTTACCTCATCCACACACCCCACCCCTCCATCAGAGGGATAAATTCCCCAGAGAACAGGTACCAAGCCCCTGACATGGGTACTTTTATCTCTAGTTGGGTCAGTAATGATTCGAAGTCAAGAAACAACATTTCCCAGGCTTTGTGAGGAAGCGAGTTCAGCCTGGCAGGAGAGGCACAGTCCCACAGCTCCCTGCCTGCCCTTCCTGCTCAACAGCAGCCGGGAAGCACATTCCAACAGGCTGCAATTCGGGACCCAGGACCCGCAGCACTCATGGGGTTTCATGATGAGACTTCCACAGATGTCAAAGCAGCAGCTGCCACCAGCAATGAACTCAACACAAGCCAGCCCAGATTTAATACTTAAGTCCATTTCTTGTGCAATAACGCTGGAACCAGCTGTAGTGACAAGCTCTAAATGGTCTCTAAATCCTGTCTAAACACAGGTTACACCTCACAACACAAGCACAGCTAAGACCAGCTCTGATAATTACATTTTTCTTCTTCCCATGTGCCCTATAGTTTGCCAAGATGAATTAAGTTTAAATTCCCTTTATAAGAAGAGCTGCGTGCTGTTGCTGGGGAAGAACTGTTCCCAGGTGGAGCAGTGGTTACATTCAGCTTTAAGAAACACGCTCTTTTGTTCTAGGGTACTTTTAAAAATACCTCGAGGATGGTTAACACACCCATATTAAAAAAATTATTTCCACTTTGTGGCCATTTCCCATCAGCGCATTAAATAACCTCCAATTTTAACTCCAGAAGAAGCCAACCTGCCAGACCATAGAAGCTTTTCTCCATCTGAAAAGAGTCCACTGACTGAGAATGACAGCTTTGAAGCTTCTAGCTGTGCTCCAGACTTTGAAATAAAACCTTTCAGATGTTTAAACACTGCAGTATCTCAGCCCATCAAGAGTTCAATGCCCCACATCTCACTCAGCATTTTTCATGCCTAATGACCACATCCAGACCCTTCTTTACAGCAGAGCTTATGGGCTGGACTAGGGACAGGCCAGGCTGCAACACAGAGGCCAGGGGCTTGCTCCAGCAGCCACAGGCTGGCAAAAAACAGGGATGACCCCATGTCACTTCTCCCCACCTTCCTCTCCCTGCAATAAAACCCTTGCAGCTTCCTTTAATTCATCCTGCTGTTAACATGCATGACAGAACATGCTTTCTCTCTGTCAGCCTTTTTTCCCCAATGAGATCCGTAGCCAGAGAATATTTGGCCCATCACAAAACAGCAGAAACTGGGAGAAGGTTTGATTTATCCTCACCACGGACAACCAGCCGGTGTCACTCCCACAGTGCACACAGATGAGGTGCAGCAGCAAAGCAGTTTGCAGGTCAGAAAGCCAAAGCCTCATTTTCTGCCACAGCACGATTTGTGCTGTAAACACCAACCTGCCCCAAAAGCAGCCTTTTCCCCTGAGCTTTCCAAGCCCTGAGTGTGGGCTGGGAGCTGATGAGGTGATGGCACATCACCTCTGTGAGCCACGCTGCCGCTGCCAGGGGGGACAGCAGGGAAGGGCAGTGCACACAGAGCAGGACAAGACCTAGATAATCTTCCTGCTTCACTCCCTAGTATTTCAGACAGCTCCTCAAACCCCTGCTTACACTCCCTACTCTTTCACAGGCCAGCAGATCCCACTTCTCCCACACGTAAAGGAGATGCTGCGTCAGAGGGAGCTCTCCCTGGAACAGCCAACGTTCCCGAGGGTGTCTCAGCAGCCCTTCATGCTGGATACTGCTTGCTGGGATGCAAAAAGGCTGGAACCCACTTATTCTAGCCCCAGATTATGATATGCCATCAGCAACCACTATGTTGCCTCACGGGAAATGTCTCTAAAAATTTACTGTTCAAACTTGGGTTCTCTGTGGCAGGAAGAATAATCCCTTTATGCACCATCCCCATGTGATGACTGTCCATTTTAGCTTACGTCTGTCCCTCACACTGCTCTGTCATGGTCAAAAAAAATCCCAACTCATTTACACTTAGACTGAAAAAAATCATCATTTTCCCTCCCTCCTGCTAATTAAGACTTCTCCCTTTGCTCTCCTCCTTTAGAAGAAGGAGAAAAGGTTTTATCTGGAGTCTTCACCACTCCTTGCAAAAGTTGTTCTTTCAAATTTCTGACCCTTTAGTAGGGAAACCACAGACCATAGGACACCTCGGGCCTTCTACATGACAAGGCAAAGGATCAACTCCTTAGCTCTTCCTCCCTGGCTGCATCTGCTCTACTGACTTAAAAGCTTCACATGTTTGCAGACAGATTTATGTTTTGGGTTTTTTTTTTCCCCTAATAACAGGATACTGCATGCCAGCTATATGCCCTCTGCCACCCTGATCCACACACAAAGGAGTGAGCCAGGAAAACAGCATTTCCTCAGGATTGACTGAAGATCTGCAGGCTCCAAAACCCCTCCCATTCTCTGTCCCTTCCACTCTGAGATACAACATCTCATTAGCAATGTTTGATATTTACAGGTTGCCATATATTACAGCAATCATGTTGCTTTTCCCTGCTGCATCTGCAGCCTGTTCAGCCTGCAAAAACTGCATTGACACAGCTCTCAAAGACCCAACTCTGATTTTTCACAGCAATATTACTGCAAAGCCTCTTCCCTCTTCCACCTGCATGCTCAGACAGACATTTCAGTTTTCCTCACCCTGACACCAACACGACTGTGTGAGGAGACTTCCAAGGTCATCCAGTCATCTGGAGCTCCCACTGCACCACATCAGTCAGGAGCCTGTCCAGGTGAGCCACCTCCCCGTGTTTATATTAAATTAACCTCCCGAGAGCCTCCCCTCAGCTCTGCTCAGGACTGGCAGCCTGACTGTACAGCATGAACAACACCTGAAGTGTGCTGTATTTCAACACAAGGTTTACCTTCTAAAAGGTTTTAAAGACACACACACACACAAAAACTTAGAAAGCACATACACACCGACATAATGCCATAAAATATAAATGAATGGTTGTCATGGTAACTGCTTCAGAGAGAAACAGAGTCCCTCACAAATGCTCAATGGCCAGAAGAAATCCTCACACACACACATCCCCACACACACCCTCCTGGTCCTTACCCTTCCTTACTGTTATTACCTTTCATTCAAAGACTGGAGTTTACCCAATTCTGCAATGTTTTGCACCAGGAAGAGAAACGCCCCGCTCCTGTCACTGAAACCCATTCAGATTTCTCCAAGTATCCTGAGCCATCCTGTTGCTTGGACAAACCTATAAGCTCTCTTATTGCTCTGCAAGGCACAGTTTTGAATGACTGTTTTGTGCTTCTGATGTGCTCTCCAGCAGACCCTGCTGTGAGCTGAAGTGGTGTTAGAGAGGCATTACTGGCTGGAGGAGTGATGGAGAGACGGACGGGGCTGCAACACACTCCTCCAGCTAACAGGCAGCAATAAATACAGCCAGAAACCCTTCTGCTAATTCCAGGAGAGGGAAGGGCAGAGAAATAAAGCACTATATATTCCTAGGCTACACATATGCAACCCCCCGAGTACCTGTTACTGACTGAATCCTACATTTCAAACCAAACCCAGGAACTCTAGAGCTGATTTCAGGCCCTTACGGGACTCAGAGCGGTCCGGGCACAGAACAAAAACTGTAGGAAAGACAGAAGGTCACGCAAGAGGAGATAAAATGAACATGACCAGCCTGGTCTCAGCACTTCTCTGACCAAGGCTGGCTTGCTGCAGCTTTCTGGGACAAGGAGCACGTGAAGGTTTGCAGATGTTCCCAGGCAGCTCCTTCTGAATGTGACAACAGCGAGGAAAGCACAAAGATAAACTTGTGAACATGTTTCTAAGGGGATGGCAGACCTCCCAGTCTCCCCAGGCATGCAAACTGGCACTTAGGGGTGAGAAAGAGAGGAACAATGTGACAGAGACAAGATCAGGAGGGGTTTGGAGAGCAAGTGAGATCACCAGCCAAGGCTGGGCCAAGGGAGGGCTGCAGAGATGCACCCCAAGCAGGGGGCAGCACAGAGGAGCTCCCTGCAGGGAGAAGGGCTGGCCCTGGGACTAGAAACCAACAGAGGGAGCCAGGCCACCACTCTCTGCCCAGCCAACACCTCCTCAGGCTAATGTTTCCATCCCCCTGCCTGCAGGGCTCCCCTCGAGTCAAGGTGAGCTTTAATAGAGGCAGTGCCACTGGCCAGTGGGGAGAGATGATCCTCCTGGCCCGAGGAAAGGGTTCTCATGGCATCACACTGGCTAATCCCGGGATCTGTTGGCCGGTTTCAGTTGTATTTAACATCAGGTGGAAATCCCAGTGATAGAAAGCTCCTGAAATGTCATGGAAATATGCAGCTGGGAGGAGAAGAAGGGCTTGAATCTGAATTGCCAGGCAAGAGAAGACTGGAAAGCCAGCTCAGGTCAGCTCTTGGAGGTGAGACAACTGACATGCAAGTGACCACAAGAACTTGAGCAAGAACTCCCCAGATATCAGATAATTCACACCCACAGAACAAACACATAGGAAATTAAACTTCTGAAGCTGTGCTATCTGCATGATTGTGTTCTCCCCTCTGCAAGGCACAAGCAGGAGGGAGGGTCACAGAGGTGAGATTATGAGCCCACAGAGCCCCGCAGTGTGTGTGCAGTGCAACCTGCAGCAGCCACAAAGAGAACTCCTCTCCTGCCCAGAGATGTCCTCCAGCACACTCAGAGGACACAGCAGCTTAATAATACCATTCCCTCTCCTTGGCCCAGCCCACTGACACACCACTCTTGTCAAATTAGATGCACACTAAAATAAACCAGGGAATATTGAGCCTTTCTTCCATTCCATTCCTCATTTCCCTGTGCCTAACTATTTCCTGCTGCTCCCAACGCAAGATCTGAAGGCAAGTAGGAGGGACTGTCAGCACAAAGTCTCCTGGGGAAGAAGGGAAGTGATGAGATTTGCAGGATGCCATGTGCTACCAAGTCATTTCTCGCTCAGCTCTGGCAATGACACCCATCTTCCTTCACTGTCAGGAGCCAAAGGAAAAGTGAAACAGAAGCAGCAGCAAACTCGTGAATTCCTATCTGGTTTCATGGTTATGTAGGAATCATATAAAATGTAGAAAGGTCCACTACATTATTTAGTGGCTTTCCTGTTAAAAATAAAAAAACCCAACCCTCTTCTGAATCTTAGATATCCTCCCATCTAGGAAAACCTCTAAGGAGAACAAAATATTGTAACTAACAATTTACTAAGTAAGTCATTCCACCTTTCAGAAGATTTCACAACAGCACTCAACAAACTCACAGCAGACCCACCAACTTAAGTAACAGGCCTGTTAAAAATGCATTCCTAGGAAACAGAATAGAATAAGGCCTTCAAGGTAAACACAAAGAGCTCTCTCAACAAACGAAACAGCACTCTGCATTTTAATTCCCATGTGGATCCTTACTTGTGAGCATTTCTCCAGCACTTCCTCCTTGAACTGCAGGAACTTCTCCTGGATGGCAGGCTGGTTGAGAGCAAAGGACAGGAAGTGTGTGAAGGGCTGTTTCCTTCGGAAGCTGTCCAGGAGCACATCGATCCGTGTGCGGGCGGAGACGACACCGCTGCGCTGCTGCCCCGTGATCACTGCAGGGAAACAGAGCAACACCTGTCTGCCTTCCAGGAAGCTAAACAAGGAGTCATTACATGGATCGTGCTATCACACAAATACTTGTCTGTGCACTTTAAAATCACAGTATTAGAGGATTTTGTGAACATTTCACCCAGGAGATGCCAGGAGGGAATTAGAAAAACCTGCACGGCAGCACCTCTCTGCTGTTAGTCCCAGGCTCCTGAGGAAGCAGTAGGAGTCAAAATCCCCAACCATGCACTGAGAAATCCTGCCAGACTCCCTGCTTGACTTAAAATGCCTGACACGGCCGTGTTTTCCTCTGCAAAGACAGGATGATTCCATCAAAAGTATCCCTCTGCTCTCAAGAAAGTCAGCTCTGAGTGCCTAAAAAACAATAACTGAGAGTCCATCAATTCAGCAGCCCTTCGGATTTCTAGAGCACTATTTCAAGTTTTCATAAAGGCAGTCAGAGTGAAGAAGCAAAGAAAATCTATCAAGATGGCCTGTTATCGTTTGTTCATGCACTTCAAGGCACCAAACAGAGAACACTTGAGCTTGAAAGGAAAGAACCACAAGGAGCAAAATTTTCTTGGCTTCCTATTATTACGTGATTTTAATATCTCTCAGCCTTCTTAATAGTCCTTCACAGTCCTCAGGAAGAAGTCAAGGCTCACTTCTCAAGAAGCACCACCACGTTCCCGTGCAGCATCACAGTGGGATCCCCCCAGCACTTCCTCCTCACAGCTCTGTCACAAACAGAGCTGCACATCGTGCCAATAATCCCTGGGGCATACCCTAAGGAGCCCTCCAAATATCCACTCTGGCAGGTCCTGCACAGGTCAGCCCTGACGAGCAATGTCTCCTTTCTTTTCAAGTCCCTGGAAGTGATGAGAAGGAACATATGGCAGCAGAAAAACTGCTCTCACTGTCAGGATCAAGTGACAGCACTGGAACGGCAGCAATGTCATCTCAACACTTCTCATATTAAAGCACATGCTGACGTTTATTTTGTGCAGACGCACACAGGGTTCCTTTCTCTGGATGTTTAATTCAGTTCCTTCTTAACGGAAAAGGAACTGTTTTAAAAGCAAAACCAGAAAGGGACGAAGTTCCCAAGCCTGTCATTCAAGGCCCAGAACAGTGAAACTATTCGTTGAATTAAAATAGGCTTTTTTTCCCAAAAAACCTTACACTGCTTTGTAAGGATTTATAGACAGAAAAAATAAAATCAGAAGAAAAGTGAAGTGATTTTCCCAGGGCCATAAAATGAGTCAGTGCTGTGTCAGAAACAGGAATTAAAGAGAAAACACCTCCTGTTCCCCCTCCCAGCTTAAACTGCATTTTTGCAAGAGCCAGTGAAAGCACATCCATTTTGTGCATGTTCAACTCACCAATTTCTCCTTCCACTCCGGGCTTGGGGATGCTGATGGAGGTTCGAGTCTCTGTTTCCAGCCTCTTCTTGGTTTCCCCTTTCTTCCCAATGATATACCTGGAGGCATAAAGTGCAAGAGCTTCACTCACAAAGTGTTGCTGGGCCACTCTCCACCAAGTGTGTCCAGGCAGGAGATGGCCCAGGCTCTGAGCTGGCCCCAGGCACCTGGGACCCCCAGACTCTGTCCTTCTGTGCTGGAGGGATGCACACACACAGCACACATACGGTGCAGGACCCCATCCAGGCAGGGAGGGATTCCCAGGATTCCACACATGCGCAGCCTGGGACCATGGGATGATGTTGAGATGGGGCTCACAACTGGCTTAAGTTAAAATGAGTCAGGTGGTCCATGACAGCTCTGCCCAGCACATCCTGCCACAGCCTATTTGTCAGCTGGGTTATCCCTTTTTACCATTATCCCAGCTGAGGAAAAACTAAGGGCTTTTTTTCTGCTTTTTTGCTTTGCTCAAGGTACTCATTTGCCAGCATCCAAATACACCATGGACCACTTTTCCTTCTCTACATTTCAGCAAAACTATTAAACTAATAAAACTGTCAGAAATAACTAGGCAGAGCTTTGAACACTACAGGCTTCCCAGCAAACGCTGGACTGGAGTCAATAGCCAATTCCAGTGTGTGTGCTTGCTCTGAAAGCTTTCACAAACTTCCCCCCGCCGGGCTGCTCGCCCCAGTTCTTCCTCCCCTTCCTTCTCCCACCCTCCCTGGTGCTTTCATGTTCAAGGGGAGAGATGCTCCAACACTGTCCTGCCAGCCAGCAAGCACCACCTGCTGTCCCTGCCACGGGGCCGGCGAGGAGTCGAGCGAGGCACAACCCCCCTGGGCAGGCAGTGCCAATTTTCCCTGCCCGACTGCTCGGATCCACAGCACGGAACACATTTCGGAGATCCGGCGTTCGCCCCGACCTCAGAAAGAAAACAAATATTCTGTGCTCAACTGCTTCCTCAGCTGGCAGCAACTCAAACAAACCCCACAGGCACACAGGCTCACTTGTACAAGGGGCTGGGAACCTCCACCCGGCTCTGGAAGCCTCGCTCAGTCTCCTCCACCACAAAGGCGTCGCAGGGATCGTCGTCCGCGCAGTCACCGGGGCCTACCAGGGAAACCACAACAGTCCTTGTACACCCTCTGGAAAGTTTGGCAGCACTTTATGTAGGACAGCAGTCTCCTCCCAGCCTTCTCCCAAGGTTAAATGAAGGAATAAGCGGGCTCCTCTCCGCTGAGGATAACTGCTTTTTATTTATCACCTTGCCACCGGCTCCGGAAAACATAATGACTGCTTCTAAATCGGGCGGGCTGGGAGGCACAGGAAAGAGGCAGTTACAGCCCAGGTTTGCTCTCAGCTGGAATTTCTGCAATTCCCACACAGTGGGAACGGTCTCTTCTCCCGGCAGGGTGGAAGCCACCAGCTTATTTGGAACTTTAAAGCCGCAGAAGAATACAAATAAAAGGTGAGGGCAGTTTCGGCCCAAGGGTTCCGTGAAAGTAGACTAGAAATCATCAGAGGAATAGAAATTCTCTGAGGGGAATTAAAGAGAATGTTAAAGCTTTGTTCAATCCACTGAAAGGCAAGGTGAGGGCAGAAAGAGGACACAACAGCCACAGCCCTTCCCATCTGAGAAACAACACTGGAGCTTTTCTGTGCCCACAACAACTCACACACAGCCACAACAAACACACAGGCAGAAAGGTAAAATGCACCACAACAGGAAGAATTTTTTCCCCCAAATAGGCAAAAAGCTGCATTGTAGGAGGCCAGTTTTTAAAGGCACAAACATTGCAAGGACAGAGGTTCTTTAGTAGCTTCCTCTGCTGCCATATCTGCAAATAATCACACTCCAGAAAAGAAAGGCACTTCAGGAACCTGGGAAAAACAGATGTACAGAGCTAATTTGTTTTTCCCCTTTCCTGGAGATCTTTCACACCCAGCAAGCAAACTGACCCTCTGCAGCACAGCAGCCAAACCCATTTGGGGGTGGGGAAACTGGGATTACTCCCACTCTTCAGGCAGCAGGATCATCAGGGATCAAACAGAAGTTTTCTCCCTCTTAACACTTGACTCCACCACGGGGGCAGGTCTTTGTGCTCACAAAGACACCAGAGATGACACTCAGAGCTCCCTGGGTCCCCAGGCTTGATGTTTTCACCTCTTGAGCATCACTCCTCACCTGCACAGAAATCCTGCTCCTCCTCCTGCGGGAAGGGCTGCTCTTGGATGAGATTCTTCCTGTACACTCGCCCCCCAATCCTCACCAGGGTGGGCCTCAGCACATCCATCCTGCTCCTCCTCCTGCTGTGAAAACAAGGACAGCTTTGCAGCTTAGGCCAAGGGAAGGGAAATTCCACCCAGTTCTACCTCCCTGCCACAGGCAGGGACACCTCCCACTAGCCCAGGTTGCTCCAAGCCCAGTCCAACCTGGCCTTGGACACTTCCAGGGATCCAGGGGCAGCCACAGCTTCTCTGGGCAACCTGTGCCAGGGCCTCCCCACCCTCACAGGGAACAATTCCTTCCCAATAAACAATTTAAATCGTCCCTCCTTGAGTTTAAAGCTCCTCTGTGTATGCACAAGAGACTTCAGAAAGGCAAAACCTCCTCAAACCTTACAACACTCAATCAAAGAGTAATTTTATGGGAACTTCAAGTGCATTCTTTGTCAGCTTGGAAAGCACAATCAGGTACAATTTAAGCAAAATTTAAGCAATATAAGATATGTAATTCTGCCTAAAACTCACTCCAACCTCAGTCAATGCTACATTTCAGTTTCTTTGGGCTTTAGCTGGCACTGAGTCACACTTTCTACAGCAGAGAACATTTAATGGGGCAAAAGCAAAGAACTGGCAGTGACCTATCTTAATCTTCACTTAAAATTCTATGTTTACTGAAATGGTTAATTTAATATTAATGAAATTAATACTATAATTAATATTAATTAAATAAATGTAATTTCTTAAATTAACGTCTTAGTTTGCCTTGGTTTGAAAACAGAAATCTCTGTTACTCAGAAAACAAAGTCTCCACCAAAAAATTCACCTCTGTGAATTTTTACAGAACGTTTACCTGTCCACTGCAACACAACAGGAAAAAATTAAGAGCGTGCCTTTGAAGGTGCATTTATTCTAAACCAGATTTATTATACAGGGACATCAGGTTCAGAAGGTTAATGTTTTTCCCCTCAGTTCCCCTACCTTCTGAAATGACTCACAACCACCCAGAACTTACACTGAAAATAAAAAAAACTCCCGTAGCTCAAGGGAAGAAGTGCAGAGGTGAACTGCACACAGAATAAGCCATGAAAAAAAAAATCACACTGCCGCTGGGTTTGGTTTGGGTTTTTAATGGTTCACGTTTTCAAACACAGGTTGGTGTCAATTTCTTGACACGGGGCTTCTGAAAGCCGAGCAGCGATGGGGGCTCGGGAGGCGCACGGCAGACGGGGAGGCAGCTTTTGCGGAGGATAAGGCTCCTGAGGGCAAGTTTAGGGGCAGGATTAGGCTCCCAAGGGTACGATCAGGGACAGAATCTGGCTCCTGAGGGCACGATCCAGAGGGGCTACGGACAGTTCCGGAGGGATCGGCAGGGGCACAGCAGCCCCGCCACGGCCCGCACCGCGCAAACCGCCGGGGCGCCGAGAGCAGGGAAGCTCTACGCCTGAACCCCTAAGCTTTACGCCTGAAGCCCTGCGGGAAGGCGGCGGGAGCAGCGGGATACCCCCTAAGCCGCCGCCATCATTCTGTTGCCCCCGCTCCCCTCCCTCCCTCCCCTCCCGCGCCCCGGCGGAAGTGGCGCGCGCCCGCCCCATCATGCACCGCGAGCGCGGCCACGCGCGCCGCCCGCGCCCAGCCGCCGCCCGGGCGCCCAGGTAACGGAGAGAGGGCCCGGGAGGGCACCCGGGAGCGGCGGGAAGGGGGCGGCCCGGGAGACGGAGGGCGCTGGGGCGAAGGGGTGGAAGCGGGGAGGGCAGAGGCGGCGGCGGCGGCGCGGGCGGGGACTCCGCACTCACCGGGAAGCGGCGCGGACGGGCCGGGGGGGGCGGGAAGGGGGCGTGGCCTGCGACGGGGGCGCTGTCCGTTGGGGGCGTGGTCTGGAGGGGGCGTGGTCTGTGGCGAGGCGGCCCCGCCTCCCGTAAAGATGGCGGCGCGTCAGGCGCCTGAGGGCGCGGGTTCGCGTACACGCACCGGCATCGCCCCGACCTGTTGCCTCCTCTCCCCTGTGTTCGTTTAAAATAAAAACCCCCGCAGCTACGCCTACAGGAATCTGTCGGGTCTGCGAGCACCTCCCGGTCGCCGTGGTTTCAGTGCAGTCATCTCGCCGCCCTCGCGAGCGGGGAGCTGAGGAAGGTGTTGCTGGACGTGGCGTAGCCGTGATAAAAGTTTATTTCATCCAGGCGTTTTCCTTCACCGCCCCTAAGCCCCCGGCCTCCTGTGAGCTGCTGTGTTCTGTGTGACACGCAGTGAATGAAACAGCCCCGAGCACTCCTGGAGAGTGTTTACAAGGGGGAATGGCTGCACACTGATGGAGGCAGGGTTAGAACGGGGCTTTGGAATAAATTCTTCCCCGTAAGGGTGGGGAGGCCCTGGCACGGGTTGCCCAGAGAAGCTGTGGCTGCCCCTGGATCCCTGGAAGTGTCCAAGGCCAGGGCTTGGAGCAACCTGGGCCAGTGGAAGGTGTCCCTGCCCGTGGCAGGGGGATTGACTAGACGATCTTTAAGGTCCCTTCCAACCCCATACTATTCCAGGATTCCATGATTAACTGTGACAGAACACAATTCCTAGTTGTGACAGCCTCTTAAACCCCCATTTTCTCCACAAAATCCTTGCGTGCTTTCCAAAGGCACTGTCTGTGTACCCTCCAGTGCCTGCAGAAATGTACTAAATAGGATAACAGAAATGAATTAAATGGGCACGATAATGGGGAGGTGCTTATAAGTGTTTGGGGGAGCAGCAAGTGCTGTCACTGATAAGTGCCAAGTGACACCTATTTTACTATCAGAGAGGTACACGGTGAGTTTTAAGAACTCTGTCATGACATATATACACCCAGTACCTCTTAAATTAAAACAAGGATGAGAAAAAAGGTGTGCAAGAGGCGACTGGGCTTGTGCTGCACAGGCAGTTGGATCCTCAGCCATTGCCAGTTTAGGTCAAATACAGTTTTTAAAGGCAAAAACACATCTGGAATGATGCAGAAAGCAGCTGCTGCAAGTTAAGCACAGTGTGGCTTCGTGCAGGATGCAGCCCTGGAACTGGCAGTCCTGCAGCCTTCCAGGTTTTATGAGGCAGCAGGACTTTTTCTGTGTTTGTGCTGCTGGAAACAAGGAAAAAAAAAAAAGGGAAAAAAAAAAAGCCTTTTTATGACCCTGGGGAGTAGGACAGGGGCCAGGGCAGCTAAAGGCCAGTGAATTCAGGTTATTTTTGTGCACACCCCGATCATCTGGACGAGTTCCCAGGGTCCCTTGTCTGAGGGGTCGGAGCAGGGGTTACCCACAGTTTCGGGGTCTCTCTGTGCCCGTCCCCACAGGCAGTGGGG